TGTTATGACGGTCGAACTATACATTAAAGCTGGAAATAGCAGCACATTGAGACTTTCTCTCAGAAGGAATTGATGAATGATGTGTTTCTAATTCTTTAATTGCGTCAATCCCAAGAAGAAGATCGAACCCAAGTAGTGGTCCGTCCACAATTAGGGCATCAATGTACACGAGTTGAGCACAACTAACATTCAACGCAATATTGCCCTGTTCACGGCATTTTAGTGCCTTACCGTCGGCAGTTAGGACTTGCATCTTCATTGGTCGCCAATTGCGACATGCGCATTTGCTCACCAACGTCCGTGAGCAACCAGAATCAACCAGGGCGTGTGTCTTAGCCACTTGGAGAAAAGACCGGCGTTGACGTCTGTTCCCCGGGTCCGTTTCCCTGGCACTCCGAGGAAATGTGCCCAACCTTGTTGCACCGAAAACACCGTATCTCGCGACGGGGTCTTCGGGTCCGGGTAGCTGTCTTCTCAGGTAGATTGAATCCTTTGCTCCAAAACTTAAAGCACACAATGCCGCCCGTCCGCTGAGCTGCTGTATTCGTCTGTTGAGCTGCTGCGACAACTGACTCATCCGGCTCTTTGCTAGCGGTCATAACGGCCTGAGCGAGAGTCAAGATCAGGTCCAACGTCAAAGTGTCCATTCTGGATGATGCGCGAAGAAGTTGCTTGACTTGTTGCGACAGTCCAGAAACGAAGGTGTACCTCATCCATCGTTCAGGCAGTTGGCCGCCAACCAACAAAGCTAGCCGTTTCAACTCTGCTAAAAATTCGTCTACCGTTTCACCTGGCCGAAATCACCGTAACACAAACTGATCATACGCACTGAATGAATCCACCGCATATGCAGTTATAAGAGCTTGCTTAATCTGCTCTGGATCTGACCTCTGTTCCTTTGTCAGCTGCCGATATACAGAGAGAGCCCCGGCTCGCAAGCGCAGTGGCAATACCCGCTCGACTGATATTAATGTAAGGAGTGTCATCCTTACTGACAAATGCTTTCAACAAATGTTTGCTAAACCTACAACATATGCAGCATTAAATTACTAAGCTTAGCATGTCATAACAGTGTGACACCTAGTGAGGATTGAAGTTACATCACTATGCAACTAATATGGCAAACCTGCTTGGTAAGCATAATTCTATATCGGACTTTCATATATGTGAATGTAAATGAAAAGCAGCGTACTTATAGCCAGTAATCTAAATGCGAATTTCAGTGTGTCACTGCGTCCCATTTTTCAACTTTACTCTTAGAGGTCGGAACCCAACATATTATACCATTTTGGAATCAGGCCGATTCCGTGAGAAAATTTAAAATATTCCGGGCCGATCTGGAACCCCAATCCTGAAATTTTAGATTCCCAAGTTTTCATTACTGCAATTGTTTTCGGCGATTTTTACGTGATTTTTTTTGCGACGAATTTTTTACAACTTGGAAAGGTGACACCCTCCGGTGGTCGCAGCGCCAATATGTGACGTCCTCTGGTCGCGACGCCAATATGTGACACTGCGCTGTCGGCCCATGGTCGATTCCCAGTTGCGGTGCGAAGCTGTAAGGTTTCTTCCACCAGCGTTTGGGGTTGACTCCTTGTCGCTGCCACCAGCCTGTGTCCCGGAACTCAAGAGGTTCAAATATGTTGAGAAATAACAAATTATCTTTATCCGTCTGTTATATACAGGAGTGTGCTTCTCTCCCAGCCCGTTTCTATGGATTTGTGACACTTTTGCGTTTCTTAAGCGAGTTTTTGGTATCTTAAGTCGTTCGTCAATATAACTTACTTTTGGTAGGAAGGCGAAGTCGAAAGGACGTGGAATCTCTCTGTCAGCTTCTGCGAGGCAACACTCTGACTCTGTCCGGAACTGAACTCCAACTCCAACTGAAACTGCCTGGAGACGTTTGTTTATATGGATACCGTCAAAAACCCCTTGTGGGGCCTGACGTGGTTTGGGTTCCTCGATAATTCTCGATTCCCAACAAGAATTCTCTTTGTTTTTATATCAGAGAAATTAATTACTTCCCATTTTTGGAAGATTAATCACTTTCCATTTCGGGGGTTTCTCCCTCGTCCGTGATGGAAGGTCGGAGGAGAGTTATCCTCCTAGACTCTTCCTCTCTCACATTGGTATCTCATACGAATCCCCTCAGTGGGTGTTAACAACTTCTCTGCCTCATACATTCAACTCCGCCTACCACCCATGCTACCACTTGACCAATGATCTCTCGGCTGTGTGGGTGTGGCTAGAATGGCCCTCTTAAAATTATTATCAAGAATTTTGTTTACAAAATCCATTTTTTTCTTTTTTCCACCGGCCAGCCAAAACATTTTTTTTTCACAAACCCCAGATTGCCAAATAATTCTTATCACATCTTTCTTTTGGAGACACCCAAAATTCACTTAGTCAGGTTTCTCTACCGACTCATCAATCACTGTTAAAACCCGACATCTGGCTTCTCCGCTAAGTCAACTTTTAACTGGAGGTCCGTGTTTACCTGAGAATCAAATTCTTTATTTTTCTCATGCCTTAAAATCCTCTTATCACCAGATGCCCATTTTTCACAACACTGTGTCTGACGTCAACAGTTTGTAAAAGTAATAATAATAATTTCCTCCACGATTTTCTTCCTCATGCCAAAATTCTAACACATACCAGATGATTTCCCTTGGTTGGACTCAGGAGTCAAAATTAAATGATATCTCTGAAAGATAACTAATATCGATTCTCTCCGCCTGTATCGCGGTCGTCTCAAGCCGAAATTTTTTTATGACCGCCATGTGTCAGCCGGCTTTGTTTTTCTTTCTGAATTCTGTTTCCCTTGGCACGTCATTCCCTTACCATGACATTATCAGTTTTGACAGAATCTCATATCTCGCTTTTTCTTACGGATTTTCTGTCTCGTGCGAAAAGTATCTTTCTTCGTAAATAAAATAAAATCTTCTTTTTAACGTCGCTTAGTCTATCTTTCGATATAGCTCTTTCTCGCCTTAAGACTTTCCTGTTTTTAATTTCTATGGTTAATTAGTAAGCCAATTACCATAGCTAAATAGTGTCACAGAAATAAATTTAGAAATAATCGAAATTAATTGTGAAATTTCAGCGAAAGTCACCTATGAAATAAAAATAATAATAAGGAGATACGTACATCAAATTTTCTTTAAATTAAGTGGCTGCAGAAGAATTATCATTGAACTTTTAAAAAGTAAACCTAAATATTAATACAGTGCTTAAAAGCAGCGATCAATTTTGAGTTCTTCTGTAGTTTATTGTTGCCTATCGCATCTACTTCTCCCTACCTATTGTGATGAAGACCCACTCAAGAACGCCAGAAGGAGATAAATAAATAAATGAGTATTCATTGTAAAATATAACAAGGATACGGATGTAATAAAACTACAGACAGCAAGACGTCGATGTCTTTTGTCTCCATCCCTTCACCTTTATTGTCATTTTGATTCTTGGCAGAGAGAAAAAAAACTCTCTGATCCTCGTCCTCTCCTTTATTTCTCGAATGGAACTGAACCGATAGGCCATTACGAGCTAAAAAATTTTTAAAAAATGTCAAAATTCGTCGAAAAATGCACCCCTACCATCCATAGATTTAATCTCTTTTTCGAACGTAACTCATAATTGATACAATAATAGTTAATAAAAATGAACACGCTATCGACCCTGTCTAAATGACTGGATTTCTCTGTATCCTTGGAAACAAAAATTATGAATTGTATGTGCGTTTAAAATAAGTTATTCCAAAATTCGCTTGAAGATGAAACAGAACTAATGCTTTTAAATTAATTATATAATTAAATTTGAAGTGTTTAGCTTCGGTTTTTGAAACATGGTAATTACTGTGTAACGAAGAAACCATATTTTAAATCAGTTAATTTATAATATTTATGCTCTGTAAGTGTACATTGAGCATTGTTTTGTTAAATATAAAAATATAAGAACACTGGATTATATAACTTACTGTTCTTTCTTTTTATTATAATATATATATATATATATATATATATATATATGTGTGTGTGTGCGTGTGTGTGTGTGTGTGTGTATATATATATATATATATATATATATTATACATATAAAGCTTTTACAGAGCGGTCAAATACAACCGTATGCTATATAGATATTACAAGAAGAAACATTTTGATCTTTGGCAGAGAGCATAGATTGTTTCGTCCTTGAAATCTCCTATATTGGCCGTATGAAACTTAATCGATAGGCTATTGGAGGTTATATTGTATATACATATATTTTTTACAAAGCACTCAAATACAACGCTATGCAATGTAGGTATTACAAGAAGCAAAATTTTGACACTTGGCGGAATGCATAGAATGTCTAATCTGAGATAGAAGATTCTACACTTATATACGTAAATAATCCCTATTAATATATAACAAAATGAAGACAACTCGGCAAAATCTCTTTCATTAGAATCAAAGTATTTTTTAACAAATATATATCAATTTAATAAAAACAAAGAAAATCTTAAGAAAACACAAACTACATCACTTGAGGACTTTCAACAACAGGAACAGCTAAAATGGATATCATATGTAATTCGAAGAGAAAATAATGGCGTAATGGAGATGTTGACATTCCACAGTACACCAAATAAAAGGTGATGAAGGAAACCAGCCATCAATACTGGAAAGTGTAATAACGCCGACTGGACTTGAAAAACGTGTTGTCCTGGAAAAGTTACTTTAGAGTAAAATTTTTCAATTTCAGTTGTCAGTAGCACAAGCTGCTAGCTCAAGTATTGCCGAATTTTTATTTATAAGGAAACGCCTAATATTTCCATATATATATATATATATTGTAAGCAGTGAAGTATTTCAAGATACATGGTTACCACATTTTGAAGTTTATATTAGAATTTCTAATTCTATTTTAAAAAGTCATTGCTAGCAGAGCTTTGTCGAGCATCAAAGATAACGTTATTGATTCATTATTTTACAAAATATGACACTTCTTTTTCAATACAGATGTGCTATTCCTGATTTACCAAACGACACCTACGAAGTCCAAGATACAGACCACGCCGATCTGATCAAAGCCTATATTCCACAGTACATAGAAGATGGAGAGCGCAAATATAACAATTGTTATTTCTACAGCAATGAAACATTAGACAGTAACGGAACAATGCTTGCATGTAATTCTTGGGTTTATGACAAATCACAGTATCAGACATCAGTTACCAGTGATGTGAGTATCATGTCATTTTCTACTTGTATTCAATGCTATTCTTCTTCTTCGGGACATCGGCGACTATAATGTCCTGCTCTTTGTAGATCTTAATAATTTGTCTTTTTGTCTTCCCTTTAATAACCTGCACCACCATCCATTTGTAGGTAAGTTGTGCGTTGCTTTCTTCAGGCTCGCTTTCTTTCAGTTTCTTTCAATTTTCCAAGCCTTCTTTCCTTATTATGTCTCCCAGAAATTTCAACTGCCTGAAATTCCTGATGTTAAGTACGTATATCCTTTTTGTTGGTATTGTCTCTAGAACTTCGTTGTTGCTCCCATATTCGGTCCATGGTTTTTTAGGCATCCATCTTTTTCATCGCATTTGTTCTTTTTTTCCTTTTTATCGTTTATAATCTCAGTTCTTTTCCTCCATTTTGACCTTTGATTTTCTCTTCTATTTTTGTTCTCTTTTTTCCTTTCTGTCCTCTTTTAATTCTTATCATTCTCTGTCGATTTTCATATCTGTTTCTTTCTATGCTTTTTATCTTTGTTTCTTCAATTTGACCGCTTTTCATTCTTTACCATATTTAAATTTTGTTAAATTCTACCGTATTTGACAATTTTTCTTTCATATTGTATTTAACTTTTGTTGAATTCTACCGTATTTGACCATTTGTCATTTCTACCGTTTTTTACATTTACTCATTTCTAAAGTTTTCTTATTTTTATTCATTTCTATTTTATTTGACGTTTGTTCATTTCAGTCGATTTTGATTCTTTGTTTCAGAATGTTTTCTCACATATGTTAAAGTTAAATACAAAAGAGAATATGTAGGTGATAAGTTTGCGGAGTATGTTGGACATGAGGAAACCTCACATCTTTACAATCGTTTTTGTGGGGGGAGGGTGTTTTGAAGATTGTGCACTTTCACTGACATGATGAAGAAAAAACGTTTTGGTTTAATAAAACAGAACAATTTCGACATAATGCTTCATTTACCCGATCAAGTTACGAGCAATAAACGCCTACAGTGATGGCTCTTCGAGGTTTCAATATCTCATCATGGACAACATCTTTCATATTCTACCAGAAACAAAGAAAGGAATTCTTTGAGTAGAATCCTGCTTTTTCTGTTAGCGCTGATTTCTTATTTTGTTATAACTAGTATCTTTTTTTTGTTTTCTGATGATATTTAATACCAATTTGTCTTTATCTGTAACAATGAGATGCAAAACTGAAATGTTATTATTCCTTTCTGAATCACTACTTCAGATTGTGGAATATTGTGTTCGATTCTTAAGTGCAAGGTCATAATGAACCTTTTGTTCAAATTCCTGGAGATTTTCGTAAAAAAGAAGACAGTTAAAGAAGACAAATTGCTTTTTTGATCCAAATCTCTGGCGTTGTGATGTTGAATTAATCCAATAATCTCTTTCAGTGTTTCTGTATTTAGAGTGTATAGCCTTCCAGAGCGAGGATTGTTGGATATATCAAAGTCGACCGTTTTAAAACTTTTAATCTACGGTGGACATATACAAGTCTTCATTGCATCCGTATACATTGATCAAATGTTTTAATACTCCGTGGCAATATTAATCTTTCAAACAGTAAGCAATAGCGAATATTTTGATTTTTAAAGTAAACTCCATAGGTAAACTCTGAAATACAATATAAATGACTGATTATTGGATAGAGGAACTGATAACCTAACTCTAGACATAATCCCCGACAATTTTACTTTGGTTCTGCCGTGTTTGGTTGGTCCATACTCCTGGTTTTGAAATACATAATTACTCTTCGCTCATCATTTCATATTTCACAGTTTATTTATTTTTATTTTATTTTTACTCAGTGTATTCTGGTTCAAGGTCACAGGAAAAGAATTGAGCTTTACAAACTAAATTTATGCACCAATTTACTGACTAGAGAGTGCATACCTATCTTAAAAAATAAACAATTAACTTTTCTCACGTGAGAATTACGAAACTATCTCAATCTGTAATTAGATCCAAGTAAATACCTGTTATCTTCAAATTCGTTACGGGGACTTATTAAGATTGTCTCCGTAGACTACAAGACCACAAACGTAAAATACAAAGTGAGGAGATAAATCACAACAATGACCTCTTTCTCATCTTACTTCTCCACTGTTTATTCGTAGATGTTCTCGTGATGTAACTCAAATTTTCGCCACATTTCTTACCTGAATCTCCCCCACACCTTAAGGTCATATGCTTTGTGATATTTTTATCCCGACTAATGAGAACCTAATATTCTTACAGAAAAAGTAAAAGAAACGCTAGAATGAATGCGAATTCGAAAATGAATCAGTAGTTATTAACTGCGCTTTTTATTTGTAAAAACTCATTTGATAAAAATGTGCTAATGATATATTCTTAAAACTTTCTTTTGAATAGATGAACTTGGTATGCCATCGTGCAATTTTCACTAGTCATGTGAAGACCGCCTATTTTGTCGGAGCGTTTAGCATGTTTTTGATTGGCGGATGGATTTCAGATAAGTAAATGAAAACATAATTTTCCATTATTTTGAAACAATATACATGCTTACTGAATTTTATATGAACTGCAAATTAAAACAATGATATCGATTCATATGCATAAATGACAAAGAAATTAGACTCCAGCCTCCGGGTTATTATTGATCAATATTTAATAATTAAAATAATTAAGCTAATATTTAATAAAGAGAAAAAGCACCGACTTAAAACAGCTGAAAAATGTAACCTTTGCTTAGACGAGGAAATAGTGATGATCAGCATTCCATAACAAGATAAACTCCAAAATAAAATATCCCAAATGAAGACACGAAAAAAAATTCCTACTACGCTAACTAAAAGCTACTAATCAAAGACTAAATAAAATCCTATAAATAAATCTACTAAAGTTTATTCCAACTAATGAATTTTAGAACAGTAGCAATTATATGTAATAAATAGATGAAGTAAAAATAATGTTACTCACAATGATGTGTTGGTTCCTATATACTCACTGTCTATATCGATATATAATCGAATATCAAAATGGAAACCAGCCAAGAACCGCGTTTCTCACCTAGAGATATTTAAGTTCCATCTGGGGACAACACACGCGAATTAGTTTTTTTTTTCATTTTGTCATTTGATTACCTACGATTTTGATATATGGATTTGTATATATTATCTTCCATATATATCAATTCAAAAATCAAATACATAGTAACTATAAGCAAGAGGAATCTTCACTAGCAAACATCATAAAAAATATGCAACTCCAGTCGATAAAAACAAGAAAATTAAATTATTTATGACAAAAAATTTAAAATCGCTAACCTTATCGTCACAAATAATATTTCCCCTGCAAGATCTACATTACAGAGAACCAATATTATTTACGAATTTACATGTCTCTTAAGGAACTGTGTTTCGGACCAATCCAAATTCGTAAATAATTATATTGGATATACTACAACATGTTTAACAAGAAGACTCATGTTACATGTCTCTGACCATAGCTCAGTCTTAAATACACATGGAGGCCTACCAAACTCTATCCGTCTTATACTCTTTAATAAAATTTAAAAATTGAAAAAGTCGTTCACAGCACAAGAGTTCCGAACATCCAGTTCACAAAATAACTCTCCCCTAAAATATAAATTACAATTTAAACGTCAGTCACGAACATTTCCGCTTAAGCAAAAGCATGAAGATATCGCTCATGTATCCACCCTGAATGATTAAAAAGACCCTGCTCGCGACACTGAAGACAATCACCGAGTTCACTAGTCGCCTAGGTTCAACTGACTCGATCAAGCTTCAATGCCAGGCTATACCAATGCTATAATCCTCCACATTGCCACCCTCGCTCAGAAAGTGGCATTCCACCTTTCATACATTATACCAGCAATACAGAATATTTCAATTTAACACCTTGTCGCCTTTTCTTTTCACTTCACCGGCAGAACTTTGATGTTTAAGTTTATACTTTGGCAATCATACGCGATATATAACATTTATAAATATTGCATTTGTCAATTTTAAATAAGTGTTATCGTCGAATTGATTTTATTCTCGTATTGTCTTTTTTAAGTACTAAATAATTTTTGTTACAGTCGTGGGCATCAAAAATAATCTTAATTCCAAACATTTTATATGTAGAGTAAGAATGCAACATAGATATCGTATTTTCTTTAACTAAAGTTAGTTATATGACGGTATTTGTGGTGTTAAAACTCCAATTATAAAGTTTATAATTAACTTAAAACAAGTGACACTAACACTCAGCGCCGACAATCTGCTTCACCTCCATAACTGCATTGGATATAATTCATTATTCCTTTCTACGTTCACTCCAAATTATTGCTGGCGATTTCGTGAGTGTAGGTCAATTCAAATGTTTCAAAGTTTTTAAATTGTTTTCATTTTCACCATATTGTGACTTGTTCCCAAATATCAAGTTCACTCTTCTTGCTTGAATATGGATCACAAAAACAGAGTATTTTATTCTTATTTATAAGCAGATACACTTATTTATTTGATCAAACACAAGTCGTTTGCAAAGTTCCTAGTCTATGACTTTTCCTACCCTGTTGCATATGTTTTTATATTATCTTGATACATCTTTCTTCAGTCATTTATAATGTGGTTTACAATCTATCTTTATTTATAAAAGCGACATATACTAGTTTTCTAGGTTTTACTTATTTCCACTTTTATAAAATTGATTCTCATGCATTTGATTTTTGATGTAATAAGAGATTTCCGTTTCTCTTATTTCAATTATATTCATAATTTCTTTCTAAGGTTCACTGGAATGAATACAACCAGCATTCCTTAGATTTTCTATCCTGTATTTAAAAGAATCAGAACTAGTCTCCTCGCTTAGATCGGTGAACTAATCTCTATTATAAAGTTTTAAAATATTTTATGAACCTCATATTACATAGACCTCTTGATTAACTTGTACCTTCATTAATCGATCAGTAAATATGAAAGAATATTTTAAATTCAAACTAATGATTTTTTTTTATTATAAAACGAAAAATTAGTCATATATATATTTTTTCAGGTTTGGACGTAAAATCACAATAGCTTCATGCGTTCTTACTGAAGGAATCAGTGCTTTGGTGAGTTCACAAGTAACCAACGCTTATCTATTTCTATTCACCCGATTTTTAGTGGCCATCGGAGGTGCTGGATGTTTTGGTACGATCCTTGTATATGGTAAGTATTATCAAACAGGTATATTTCACGTGAGAAATAAGAATCCTTAAAAATCCATCAGGTTATAATTTTTTTTAACGTTTTGTTGATAAAAGGCTGATCTGAAGAGATGAATGTAAAGTCCAAGAAATAAATTTTAACCAGATGGATTTTTAAGGATTCTGTATTCATTATTATATTGCTCTGTTCTTACGTTGAGCTCTCTCTAGATTAATATCCTCCTTGGAATTATCCCTACTAATTATCAAGTGATATTGTTTATATATATATATATATATATATATATATATATATATATATATTTATAAAGCATATTGATTAAATATTTATAATATATATATATTGATATATATATATATATATATATATATATATATATATATATATATATATATAACAGTGATCTCATCTCACAATCCTCACACTTACTCCATATGTGGCTTCCTTTCTAAATTACTAGCGGGTTTTAAATGCCACTTAAGATTATCGTACAAATTTTCATAACTGAAACATTTAAGCTTTCAGATCCTCATACGTCGAAACCGACGGGAGAGTCCATTATATTATTATTATTATTATTATTATTATTATTATTATTATATACAGTCAAAGTGTTTCTAAAGTTCCTGGGATACGAACTTTAACCATGTTTTTCCATGTTTTTAATTATCAAATTGATTAACATTAGTCTGACAGATAAAAATTCTATAAAACTTTTGTGAAGTTACGCCCCTAATTAAAAAAAAATCTAATTATTCAGAAAAATTTCGTGTGCCAGTTACGCTTTTTTCAATATTTTTGTCTTCGCAAGAAATGTTTTATATCACCTTTTTGCATCATACAAGCAATATTTAGTTTACTATTTTGTATGATTTGCAGCTACATTACATTAAAACACCGGTTCGATTGTAGAAGTTAAGCAACGTCGAGCTTAGTCAGTACTTATATGGGTGACCCTTTTGGTAATAATAGGTGTTGTGAGCTTGGAGATGCGGGTGGTGTAATGGTGAACGGCTTGGAATTGGAAATCGGGAGCCGAGTTCGAATCGGGTTCATCATATTCACTTACGCGCAAATACCCTTGGGAAAGGAACGAACACCTCTCACCTATCCAGCTATGAGTTAATTAGTAAATCGTTATCCCCCCCCCCCCGCCAGCAGAAAAGAAAAATATTCTTAGAATTTAAAAATAGTTTCTGGCTTTAAATAAACTGCAAAATATGATAAGCCATGAAAAAAAACGAATCAAACTATTAAGCATACAGCGTCAAACAAGCTGTTCTTATAAAACATTCTCCATTACAGCGCTTTCGATCTCAGGGTGTTGCCCCACTATTTGACCTTGTGTTATTTTAATCTAACTCGATTAAATATCTACTCCTAACTCAATCTTCCTAGAAAAGCCAGGGATCTTTCGTAGACGGAAAATGTGAAAAAATAAGAACATTTTTTCTTATCAGTCCACTATATATCCTCTTTGTTATTTGAAAAATACATATGCCCCAAAGTTTCCAGCGTAGTCCAGAAACCGAAAATGGTACTAAACCTTATCTAGAGTATATTCTTTCCTATTACTGTATACACATGTTTATACGATAACTGTTATCTTATAAACCGAACGCAAACAGGGATTAACAAAAATTAAGGATAAAACCAAACAATAATAATAATAACAATTATTATTATTATTATTACCGAAAAAAGAAAAAATATTTCTCATTAATGTAGCTGTTCCTGGTGACCATAATATAAAGTTCAAAGTAACTGGGTAGCTTACATTGACCTCTGGATTGGGATTTCAATTATATGGGACGTTCAGGACACTAATGCCCCAGTTATCATATGGGGGTTGGGAACTATACTACCAAATCTAAATATAACGAATAATCTCCTCAATACTGAGTATTGAAGCTGCGAATCTCTCCTCAATGTTTTCTCACGCGTAATTTTCTTCTTTATCTTTCAGTAACAGAAATTATATCCATAAAATATCGATCTCGACCGCCACTGGCACTATATTTTGGATTTCCTATTGCTTTTATTTTCATGTCTCTAATCGCGTACTTTATAAGAGTTTGGAGACTGTTAGTGATCCTCATCTCAGTACCATTTATACTACTGGCCTTATTAATGATATGGTACGTATCTTATAAGTATTCATAATTTACAAACTTCACTAGAAAATTAAATTAAAAGTAAGGCAAGTAATTTATTTTTTAATTACAAATGGCAATAAGGAAGACTATATTGTATTAATTTACTTTACATAAAAAGCAACAAATTTGACTTCGTTTCCATAAACAAAAATTGTTTGATTTTCAGAAATATTAATAAAAATTATGGAAGTAGAAATACTATATCTTTTTCATTTATTTGAATAAATATTAAATTTCCTCGAAAAAGAGACATCCCAAAGAGAGTTCATTAAAAATAATTATATTTTTTTTATTTTACACATGTACATACAGAGAGAGAGAGAGAGAGAGAGAGAACGAATTAGAGAAAAAGATCGAGGGCATGAGTCAGTCCAGAAAAAAAAGATCTTTTAGAAACTATTGCCAAAAGGAAACACACACACACACACACACAGAAACACACACACACACACACACACACAAACACACACACACAAACACACACACACACACACACAAACACACACACATATATGAGAACCTTTAGAAAGCACTGAACGAAATTCTAGAATATGAATTTCACAATTGTGCTAATCATTACTGGGCACTGGAGACAAGAACAATTAAGTTTATGAAGATGGTGGAAATCCAAGAAGATTTGAAACCATCGTGATTGCAAGAATGCTAAGTAGAATGTGGGCGTATAGTAGAGATATGCTATCACTTGACATCCAGTAAAACCACCACAAATTACTTTCGAACTGTGATCTCGATGATTTCAATAACACCACCACCAACAACAACAACTATGAAAATAATAATCATGACAATAATACTATATTACATGATAAGATGGGAACGGTGTGCCCGTGGAATTGTGCAAACGCCTGAAATTTGATATTGGCCATTGTCATAAACATAAACCAGGTTAACATCTTTGGATTTACTTGAGTATAAAAGAGAATCAATACTTATTGAACTTGTGGCTTTTTGTATGTATCGTATAAACGTCTATTTTCCATACAATGTGTGTCATTTTAATCCAATTAAAAGTCAGTGAATAATTCGAGATGGCCCCTCTCTAGAATAAAATGATATTCTCGAAGTAACAATGGGTTGTGAGTGGTTCAAATAAAATTATTGACCGGGTCATCTTTAGACATATAACTCTTCAGTGTGTGATAATTGGGCCAAGGACAACTCAGATATAACAATGATATCCAAGCGTTTGTCTACCTGTTTAGTTTCCAATTGCAGCCAACGTTTAAAAAATAGCTTTTTTTCAGATGCTCAGCAGTAGCCCATGTAATGAAAATGTAACATATGAGGTGAAATGGACATAATTCGCCATATCTATCACCTTGCATTGATAACTAATTTCATTTTCCTATCCCGTCATATGAATTCCGAATGATTATGAAAGTGAATCTGAAGGTGATACAATAAATTGTAAGATCATTCAGTATGCAATTCAAATTCGTATTTGCTATTTAGGTATAATCTGATGCTAATTTCATGTTCTGATATAAATACACAGAGGCTTTCATCCAGAATATGGTCCTTTCACTACTCCTGGAGTAAGAGACAATGTGAATGAAGTGTGCTTTAGTCTATCGCTGTTATATTAAATTCGTTTTTTTTTTCAATTAAAATTGAAAGTTTTTTCAATAATGATACACATTTATTTATGTTTCTCTACAATATATGTCTATGATTTAAATGATTCAAAATATATCATTTTATTCACTTTTGAATTAAGGATTGTCCCAGAGTCGCCCCGTTGGTTGATGAGTGTAAAGAGAAAGAAACAAGCTGGGAAAATCTTAAATAAAATGGCGGAAATAAACAAGTGTAACTTTCGTTATGAACCGGAACATGAAATAGACATCTCTAAAAGCAATGGCACAACCGTCAAAGTATGGAAAATTTTCACTGTTCGAGCTCTTCTGAAAAAGACTTTAATTTTTATGCTCGGCTGGTAAGAATCATTATATGTTCTATTTTATTTTTTGTATCTATTATATCATATTTTCCCCACAACGCTGTAAGCTTTATTATATTAACACACACCCAAAGTACCAAAGACTACAGCATCCACCACATTACTGTATTCAAAATGTAATAATTTTAAGCGTCGGCTCAGAAATTATGTTTTACTATACACCCTTGTGCAAATTAATTGAAACAAAACAAATAATTCCGTTATTATTTAATTTTTTCATATTTTTCCAATGAAACATGACTCAGTGCACATGTTAGTACTTCGTATACTTATTCCACGATATTATTAACGATATATTTTATTATATGAATGAAATAAAAATTTTATGTGTATGTAGATTTGTGAAGATTCTTGTATGTCTAAGTGGGCAACGAATGATAATGTGCATTTGTAATTGTGTGTAAATGTGTTTCGAATAAGAATAAATTCTTAAAGAGGCGGGCCATAAATTAGAACCCCGTAATTCCCCGCTGCGCGGGCTGACCGCACAAAGGTGAAGATAAAACCCCAATTAGACACACCTACACAATTACAAATACACATTACCATCTATTTCCCACTTATACCTTTTATTTTATCATATATATATATATATATAAAACTAAATCTTTTTAATTTTAAATTATTTATTATTATTACAGGATGCCCCCCCCCACAAAAAAAAACTTGAAATTTGGTACACATTATTTAATTGTTAGAATTTTTGTTACAGTTATTTAATGCAAAAGCAAAGGATAAACATTTAGTAGCCCAGAAAGAATAAAAACACAGTTGTCGGGCTCAAACTATAGAACTCTTGGTATTTTTTACCCCCTCCCCAAATTGGGTTTTCTTAAAGATTAGAATCACCTCGCGTTGAAAATTTGATAACTGTGGGATCCTGGAACAAAAAATGGTTAAAGATTTATATGTTAATTATATTTTTTATTTCATTCATATAATAAAATATATCGTTAATATTTTTATATGTTTGTTAACTTTTTTCCTCATATATTAAATTTAAAATTTCTTGATGTTTTGTGGGGCACCCTGTATTAATGTTTGTTGTTACACATATTTATGTTGCTATTCATAAATAAATAAATATATATATATATATATATATATATATATATATATATATATATGTGTGTGTGTGTGTGTGTGTGTGTGTGTGTGTGTGTGTGTGTGTGTGTGCGTGTATGTATGTATGTATAAAATGTTCTTATGTGTAGATGTGTGTGTATATATATATATATATATGTGTACAAACGGCCATATCATGTTGAAACCCTGGTTTTTGTCCGATAATCGAAGTAAATATCGTCGACCTTGGTTAGTACATAGATGAGTTACCTCTTGGGAATATCAGGTGCTGTAAACTTGGATTTGTGGATGCAATAATGGATAACGTTTTGAAATGTGTTGTTGAAGATCTACTGTTATGTCAACGAAAGTCATGGTGATTAAATCACAAACAAGTCGGAGTAAATGTAATATAGAGTATAAAGTATACGAGCTTTCCTATTTGGTATATATATATATCTGGTCACACCGGACTGCTGTCTTGTGTTTACTAAAAATCAACAGTCAAACAATATATGGGCTATTGTTAGCAGACAAGTTTATGCTAAAATTTCTCAATTTTCAAAGAAGAATTTGTCCTCCAAATCTGAAATGACAGACTAGGAGTGGCAGTGTTAAAGGACAGGAGGCAGATTTAAAAACAAATAGGTACCCCTGTCTCAGCCCTACTTACAACATAGAGGCACTCTATCAATCTCCAACAATAGAAAACACAGTCTTATGCACAGAAAGTAAAAATTCGTAGTGACTCACTCAGTCCAGAAAATAATTAGTTAAAACAAGTTCGCTTGTTTAAAGGATATTACTACACAAACTACCAGTGCAGCTACCCTAACTTCTATTGCTATTTAATATTTCCATGGGTAATGCGAGTACTATTTCCTCTATGTGCTGTGTCAATTCAGGTCGTTGGCGATCATCGGTGATCTGTACCAAAACAACACCATCAAGACTTAGATGTACCAAGAGTGAATGGTTCAGACTGTCAGTGTCTTTATTCCAGGCATATTTATTCCAGAATCTCAACACTAGTAAATCACTCATATGTTACTGATTAGCAAGTTAGAATACCTGTGGCCGATGGCCGAAGATTTCGAGACTTAGACACTTTCACAACGTTTAGCCTCATCGTTGATGATATATGTTTACAAGAGATCCATTTATTTTCAAGGATCACAATAATATTATAATAAAGATAGCCTAGAGAATTTAGTTTAGTTTCTGGAAACTTTCCCTGGTAGAATTTTGGTTAAACAAGTGAATTATTCGGTGGGCGAGAGAGGGTACAACATTTTGATACAAAGATTCACGTGAAACAATACTGACTCCATTATCGCTAAATGTAGGTTCAACATTCATGTACATTGTACTTTCTCTCTACACATCCGAGTTTTGTAATATTCCTTAATTCTCCTTATGTTTTATTACTTATCTCTATTGTGAAATTTCTTTGACATTTTGGCCCTTATTCTTTCTGATTTCTATAGGGGAAGTATAATATTCGTTTACTACGGATTGACTCTGAACATTGGTGTCCTGGCGGGTAATATTTACTTGAATTTAGTTCTGAATTCCATTGTCGAAATCTTGGCGATTCTTTTCACTATCATCACTGTGGATCGATTGGGAAGAAAGAAAGTAACATTTTCCCTAATGCTTGCCAGTGGTATAACTGGTATTCTTACCATCTTCCCAAATCTGTACGCATCAAAAGGTAAGACCTTATTATTTTTTATATGTTTTCAACCAGCAGGGTTAACAGGATAAACTATTTCGATACTGTCTAATATTTGAAATTCCGAGACTTTTTTGTATTTCTTCTGACCTTTGTTTAAGAAGTCAATTATTTATTAATTATAAACAGTGAAACAAAGTTAATAAAAACATACAAATTGCTATAAAAATAAAAGTTCCGGAATTGAGACGAAAGACGCAAAAAGAGCGTAGTGTGGACGTATACCGCTACCCTTTCTGGGAAGTAAATTTTGTGTGCCATTGAGGAAGCACGGACAAAGGACTCGTAATATAATTTTTCTAATGCGATCTCCAGTGTAACAGATGTCTGCGTAAACAGTGCAATTGATGAACCGGGTTCAAATTCATTGAACAAACAGCCAGTATTTCTGTCAGCTTAAATTTATAAAATATTTCTCTCAAAACAATTTTTCAGGAAAATAGTTTTCTCAAGTTCAGTATTGATGGGACTTTACTTCCTAACATTTTAAAGTAGTATGGATCGTCAGCATCCTGATTATGAAACTATTTTCTCTTGTATTTACTTGAGATATCAATTTCAGTTATTGCTGTTGTTGAAACATCTCTCTAGTGATGTGATTTATGTTATTTGATACATTTCTTCGTTTTTGATTCTGTAGCGCCAGTCCACAATGTTCGGAGAAGCATGGTCTTCGACAAAACACAGAGGTTTCACTCTCTCAAAGCCATTTTAGCAATGAAAGCGTTTGTATACAGCTGAGAGTTTAGTTATTTCTGAACAGGTTTGAGACCATGATAGACATCTATATGAAAGTATCGATCTGAAGAGGCTATTTAACATAGTTTGAGTTTGTTTTGTCTTGTTTTTTTTATTTCTTTCTTTTTTTTTGTTTTTGTTTTTTGTCACAATTTGCGGTTTTGGGTGAATCTACCTTTAATGCTGCCTATTTTATGTTCAATTTTCTTATGTCCTATACTGAATTTGTTTTAACGGATCCAAACGGAATATGTGAGCAAAGTTTTAAGGAAAATGGGAAGAAAAAAAAACTCAGAATTAGAAAGGAGCCGTTGAAATTTCTTGAGCATATAATAAATAAAGTGTGCTAAGTGAATTTCATAGCCACGGGACAGAAAGCAAGATGGATAGAGAGAAACAGCGAGGAATCTTATTAACTAGCTTGCATAAATCGACTGCAGATCAAAGAGTCAGATATATAGTATGTGTACAAACTTTGCTTAAATATACGAAGAATATCAAGCTGTAGAGTGCGATAATCGACCTCAACCTGAAGAAATACAGTTGTATGCATTTCTTCCAGTTTCAGCAGATGATGAACTATCAAATCTCACCTTTGGATTTTAACCTTCTACATTTCAGATCAATTCTGGACGATAACGGCGCTGACCACATTCAATAGAATGTGTATATCAGGAGCTATTCCAATTATAGCTCTTTACACCTGCGAACATTACCCAACATGCATTCGAAATTCATCAGTGGGATTTTTCGGTGGTTTTGCGGAGTTTGTGAGCATTCTTTCACCCTACATTATGGGCGTGGTATGTATGACATATCTTAGGATATATTATGATTCATATAACTAAACATATCATTAAAATTCTAAGTAATCGATATCACAGTAGAATTATATCGGAAAAGTTCAAGATACGAGATCAGCGATTACGTTACTTGAAGGGTTTGTGCGTATGGATGTGAATGGATAACATCAGAAGGAAACATATGTTAAAGAGTCAAACAAAAGGCTGTAGAAAGTCATAATCGCCTACCTCCTGAAAGATGAAAAAAACAAAAAAGATATATATATATATATATATATATATATCATTAAATAATATAGACAAGTTTTGCCTATTTATTTTATGTAAATTCTTTTCATATCGTCTGATAATAACATTATCATTAAAAGACGAAATAAAATCACCATATTGATACATATTTATTGATACATAATTTTTAATCTGTCTATTTCAACTTTTAATGATAATGTTATTATCAGAGGATATGAAAATAATTTACATAAAAAAATAGACAAAACTTGTGTATATTATTTAATGAAACATGCATCAATAAAAAATGCTGCCTAAATACACACAATATATATATATATATATATATATATATATATATATATATTTAAAAGAAAAACAGACCACTTTAAGGTACCATTATAATAATTTATTTCACCAGAGCCCTTTTATATATATATAATTATTAATAATAAATTACTAGCTTTTTCATCCAATCCTCAGCAGGTCTTAGTTAACTGACTTTATTTGCTGATTATATCTCTATTAATTATTTTTCTCTTTTTATGATAGGCTAAGTTTGTTTTTTTGCTGTTGTTTTTTTAAATAATTCTGTTGACATAAAATTAATGTATTAGATAAAATTTTGAAACTGTATATTTATAATTAATAAATCATATATCAGATAAAAGTTAGATGGCAATAAAATAGTGATTTTTCTTCGAGGTTGTTATTAAATTTAATTTTAACATTAGAACTATAATATCCATTTCAGTTGCTCACATGAATTTTCGGATGATTTGTTTAGTCATTCAGATTGAATTTTCCAGATGATAAAAAAGCGACAGCAAGCAACTTAAGTGATTTTATAGAATACAGAACATTTAACGCAAATGCAGACAGGCAAAGCATGAACGGCTAAACGAAAATTAAATATCTATCAAGATTTCACTTTATTTCACTTTTATTTCACTTTTATTTGTATTATTTCAGTCAACTTTGGTTCCTGGCCGACTTGGTAAAAGTCTCCCTTTGATGTTGATGGGAATTGCATGCTTCGTGTCTGGGATTTTTATTATCTTTCTTCCTGAAACAACTAACAAACCGATGCAGGATACTATGGATGAGGTGATGAATAACAAACATATAAACAACAAGTAAGTAGATATTCTTTATTATTAACGCACTTTCTGGTAATAAAACATCAACTCACCGACGAGTCTTCAGTTAGAATGACTTCATTTTCGATCTTTCTTTTATCAAAATACGAGTCGAATGTAGGACTAAAAATCATTATTCTAATGTTTGTTCATTAAGATATTGATTTGGGGGACAGGAAAAAAGTTGAGAACTTTTCAGCATCCCTCTCATACAATATATTATTATAAACCCATCGAGATATTGATAAGCTTATTAGTATCTGTTTATGTATCCACAGTGTGTCGAACATTTCTAATCCTATTTAAAAGCTACCATTGACTACAGGTTAGCTTACAGCTCACAGATCTAATAATTATTCTTACCTACTGATGTATCACTGATAAACGCATGGATTTACATATTTCTACAAAGTCATTTTTAAAAGTCTCGCAAAATATCCGATAAATACTCATCAACTTATTATCATTACGCTACTACTACGCCTTCATTGGTGATCACACCCGAAAAGGAAAGATGAAAATTAATATAAGCAAGTATAAAGTAATCAACAATTTCGAAAAATGCTTGCAACAACCTGTATTTAGCTACTCGAAACGTAATTATTATTAATGTTTTGTTCATATTTTCTCCCCTTTGTTTCTGTTGCTTTTTATCGCATCTCACAGGTCGTTATTCTACGGTTGATAATTGTTATAGTGGAACACACCTATTCTATAGTTAATAGACTCTCCCACCTATAATAAGTAGGAGTAGTAAGAGTCGGTGAGTCGGTCGGTGAGTCGGACGATTTGTTGTTGTGTATGAATGAGTGAGTGTTTGTGTGAATGCCTAATGATTTGAATGTGTACTTATTTTCTTAGTCCCGCATCGATTTCGTCTGGTTAACTGAACCTATTTTGCCACATTCATAGTTTGTGGGGGTTTTATTACTAACTCAGTTTGTTTTATTTTATTGTAAATAGTTAATGCAATTTGTAAATACACATTTGGGGATTTTTTACGAAATTTGTTATTTATGACCCCCCCCATAACAATTATTTGTATATATAGGGACTTTAGGACGTCATAGAAAACTGAGGTATTATGGTTTGACGTAGTAAGAAAGGTAGGAGTGGATGTGATGTTTTGGTGAATGGAGCCATTGTTGGCATTCCCTTCTCTCAAATTTTGTAACTAGCTATCTTTTTGTTTAAAGACAGAAGATGACCGTCATTTCGTAGTCTATTTGAATTTTTATTTGTTTTTTTATAACAATAAATATTGTCGGTGAGTCGGACGACAGTTAATCGAATACTTATTTCACCGACCACAACTAATTACTCTGCGTTATATCTATTATCCAACAAACGTTTTTAGTTTCGTCGAACCTATTTATTACCGAATGGAAGAAATATAAACTCCAAATTTAAATCACTCCAATAAATAATTAAGCAGCAAAAATCGTTCTTGAAAAATTAATCCTGACGAAATGTAAAATGAACCCTTTAGTTTGAAATAAACCCAAAACAATATAGACATCGAAAATCTTCAAAGACTTTCGTTTAATAGCATCACTAACTTAAGCCATTGAGCTGCATTCCCCTCTCAAATTTAGATTTCTCATTTGTTTATGTGAAGTAATAATATTATATTTCGTAGTCTATGAATTTCTTATAGGAATTTTTTTCACTTTTATTAATTTCTTACCATTCTTTACTGCATATTAATTCATGTTTAATAAAAAAACTTTCCACAACATTTTTAAAAATCCAATTAAACTTTACAGAGCAAAATTGGTATTATGAATGGAAGAAATATAAACTGTAAATTTAGAGATACAATAAAGAGTGTAGTACAAAAACGTTCTTGTAAAACATTAATCCGAATAATAGTTAAATAAAATAAAGTTAAAATAAACCCAAAACAATATAGACATATAAAATATATATATTTCGTTTAATAGACCGATAACTTATGTATATATATATATATTTATATTTCTCCAATAAGAATCAGTTTTTAGAATAATTTACATTTCTCAGATTTTAAATTTAAGTTTTTTATTATTTCTCTTGAAACTTCTGTATATAAATACATTCCCCAAAAAAATTTCAACAACGATTTTTTCACCTTAATTAAACTGAAATTGAAAACTGAAAGTCAATATTTCAAATCGATAGATTTTTAGAAATAAATAGATAGATATTTTAAAAAATAGATAGAAAATTGTTAACATATAAAAAAAATTGAAATAATTCTGATATAATATATATATATATATATATATATATATATATATATATATATATATATATATATATATATCAAATAAGAGATACGGAATAAAATGAGATAGATTCATAGATTTTAAGTCAGAAGTTTTCTACTATTTCTCTTGGTAAAGAGGCACACAATTCTATTCCCCAGGATTTCAACACGTACAGATTTTTTCATACGTTAATGATTATAACGAAATTGATAACAGAAAGCATATTGACATCGATAGATAGATAGATAGATAGATAGATAGATAGATAGATAGATAGATAGATAGATATGAACAGACTGCGATAGATTCTGACTAAAATGAGATAGATAGATAGATAGATAGATAGATAGATAGATAGATAGATAGATAGATAGATATGAACAGACTGCGATAGATTCTGACTAAAATGAGATAGATAGATAGATAGATAGATAGATAGATAGATAGATATAGATAGATGAATGATATGAACAGACTGCGATAGATTCTGACTAAAATGAGATAGATAGATAGATAGATAGATAGATAGATAGATAGATAGATAGATATGAACAGACTGCGATAGATTCTGACTAAAATGAGATAGATAGATAGATAGATAGATAGATAGATAGATAGATAGATAGATAGATAGATAGATATGAACAGACTGCGATAGATTCTGACTAAAATGAGATAGATAGATAGATAGATAGATAGATAGATAGATATAGATAGATATGAACAGAACAGACTGCGATAGATTCTGACTAAAATGAGATAGATAGATAGATAGATAGATAGATAGATAGATAGATAGATAGATAGATAGATATGAAAAGAACGTGTTGGATTTGAAAATAGATAGATAGATAGATAGATAGATAGATAGATAGATAATGCAATAAAGATATCAGCAGAATGAGATAGATAGATAGAGAGATCTATACTCTTTACTCATTTCATCTCAAGAAAGGTAATAAAGGCACTCGGACGCAATGTACTACTGAAATTCATTACAGTTGCTAAATAATTTGTTAATCTAGTTTGTTCAGAGGTAAACAATGATGAACGTTTCTTAATACTCTTTACTCATTTCATCTCAAGAAAGGTAATAAAGCCACTCAGACGCAATGGACTACTGAGTGTGAAAGTATCTGAGAAAAAGAAAGGCATTATTAAAGAGAGAGAACAATAAAGAACATGAATTATGAAAACAGAGGACAACGATTGAAATTGCATTTAAATCTTTCAAGATAAAATTTACCGGAAAGCTAGAGGCCGAATGGCAGTTTCACAAGCCTAGAAGATAAGGTTACATCTAGTCATTTCAACTGTAAAATAATGATTACTGTTATGGGGTCCACCCCTTTTTCATACAAGTGGACTCGCCCAGTGTGTACTTGTACTGCTGCCGGTGAATACCTAAGAGAGAGTGAGTAACAGAGATACGCTGATACAGTGATACAGTGAGAGTGTGAGGTAACCGCTTTGTAGGAGTCACAGTTGCGAGCACGTAGACTCAGAAGGAAGTCATACTTCGATACTGAATTTCCAAGACTGTATATATATTATTATTGCTACTAACCGCATTTCTGGATCTACTAACCGTATTACCAATTATATTATTACGTCAATACATTTATTTGCTATATTTCATTCCTGCGTTTGTCATTCATTTTGAGACCGGATTTCATCTTGGAATCCACAACAAAAACCTTAAATCCATAAAGTTGAGGTACCAAAGATGAAAGCCATCAGAACAATTACCATGAAAATATGTATAGAAAAACTACAGAGTGCTATATTACGGTAGTTGGAAAGTGTCTGAAGCCGAGATGCCAAGTTAGGATCGATCAAATTTGGAGATTCTTTAAATTTCATGAAAAATCTTTAAATGCATAGCGGAATTATCAGACCAGATGTGACAGAAATGTTCAATGCGTGGACAAATGGTAAACTTATAAATGTGTATCATAGATTATCATGCCTCTGTTGCTGTTGATAATGATTATTACACATGATTATTAGGCACAGGCTGATTGGTTGAAATAATAAGACCCTATCGTTTGACCTATAAATTATAATACATTATCGCCGAAAGGAGATAATACACATTCACCTACAGGAAGACGACATTTGTATTTATAAAATGAGAGACTTGAAATGGCGAATATCGATCTTAACCTGAGGGATTTTCTCAAACTCTGAAGAATTGATAAATGTATCAAATTGTAAATGTATCGATTTTATCGACGAATGCTTAAATGGTTCTCATCTTTTTTGCTTATCATGTAAATAACCGCAAGAAAATTGTTAATAATGACGACAGACTGGTTTCTCTTGAAGAAAGTTGGCTAATTAATTATTCTCTGATGTTCCAGTGCATTGTCAAGAGTTTTTTTCTTTTTTTTTTTTCGAATATTCTTTCTCTTCTATTTAAAGAAATTAACTTCCGTATGGCACAAAGCTAAATGCTAACGCAACATGATAGGTAAATTGTCTTGCACCAACCTTCCAAGTATACGTTACACACGCCAACGATCATCACTTACATGAATATAGAACCTGAATACTAAAGAACCACACTGGATCTCGTATGTGAATCTTTCAAGGTCCATCCACTGATGCTTTTAAAATGTGTCGATCCTGGTAAGTATCAAGAATATTGTGCCAGAACGTCAAGTCCAATTCTTCAAAATTCCCGTTCTGCCTCTCGAAGGCGAACAAAAGGATTTCTCTCAAACGGCTTTAATTGAACAAAATGTGCACA